AAATTATAATTGCGAAACAGGAGTTCGTAATTCTTGATATGCAATGTTGGATCAACGATATGCGTTTAACATTTCGCGCTTCTTTACATTAGGTCCGGAACATCCGTAACAGTTTTCTCTGGATGCGTTACCGTATTTACCTTGCCTTGGGCGAATGAAACGATGGATGTAAATAACTTATACAAAACTTGATGTGAACGTATCGTAGCAAAAGTATCGGCAATGTTACGGGTACACTCTTCTTACTGCTCATACTTTCTATATTGACAGATAGAAGAAATCAGCTAACAATACACAAGTATTAATCTCCATGATATCGTCTTCAACAAAAGATTGTAGAAAATCATATTTATATATATATAGAAAACAAAGATGAATAATTGTTAAAAAAAATGCGAGTTTTTGATATAATGCAATCAATGAAAATTTAATAAATTAGGAAGTGAATTTTATTTCATTACAAGCATGAATATAACAATGTAAATTATGCTATAATTATGTATTAAAGTATGTAATTCTTGTAATAATTTTCTGTAATAATTTTTCAACGATCAAAAACGACGAATCACTTTGGNGTAGTCCTACATATATTCTAAAGCATGTAAGCAAATTGTTTGTTAAACTTGTATATCTAGCAAGAGTGACCTGTATTCTAAATCTAATGATGAGTTGCTCGGGTAAAGAAGAAATTTGTTAAGACGAAGCGTTTTTGATGAAAATAATTTCATCAATCTTTTATTCATAAACGAATTTAGAGGACCGTATTTTCATTTCATGTATACCTGTTATCTACATATATGCAAACCAGCAAATTGAAATGTTTTTAAATTATATCAAGTATATAAGTGGACTTTCGTTTCCATATTGGATCATGATTTAACTTCAACATGAATTGGAAGTCTTGAAATAGAATCAGAAATTCCATAACATGCTCTGCATTCAATTACAATGGAATTACGACATAGAATCATGTATTAAGTTAAATTACGTATTCAACGTCTGTTACACATACACATATGTAGACTATACTTCCATAGGTGTTCCTATAGAAAAGCAGGAAAAGGCACGTTCAGAGAAAATAGAATTAGTTTCAAGTTTATTTCATTTACATTTCTTTCGCCGTCGGCGGCGGCGGCGGTTTCTATTCAACGAATTCCGCTGTTTAACCAACCATTTTGTGCCCTATATTTACATTTATATTAAACGAATTGCATTTTATGGTATAGCAATGTTACAAGCATTATTTGCATAATAACGAGCGGGTATTTGCATCGAGTCTCACGGCTCAACGAGTTTCATACGTTTCGTTCTTCCTTTATGTCCGTTCATTCCTCTTTATTCCCGATTCCGGCATGCAATCGCCCGTTCGTCCCTCAATCCCACATTACCTCCACTTTATCTTAATGCTCTCTCTCTATTTATTGCTTTATATTTGCTCCCTGCTATTCTTTATAGAATGAAGTCTTGCATTTATTGTTATAGAAAATACAATATTTTTCTTGGGTTCTGTATAAACCAATAAAACAATTTTATTACAAAATTAGTTGAATAGTCCGTTTGGAAAGCGATATGATTGTGAGATGTGAAATACAATGAAGGACAGAATTGAACCAACACTCTTTAAAACTGAATAACTTTTTTAGAATTATATCAAAGTTTTCTTTATTGGCTTTTATTGAAAAACAAATTTTGCAGATTTATATGAATTAATT